AGGGTAGTGATAGTATAGAATTTCAACATCCCCAACATCATCTGGGGTAGGTGTAGTGTGAAAGGTTTACAGGGAGCTGAATTCTTAAAGTGTATGCAGGACAGCTTTTTAAACCGACATGCAGAAAGCCACATGAGAGAGGGGCTAGTCTTGGGCTTAATTTGAAGTAAGGAAGCTGGGTAAGTAGTTGAAATATCAGTGGGGGACATTTTATAGGCAATTATAACTCTGTTAGATTCAGAATTCCGGAACAGGACAAGGTTGGGCCTGAAATCAAAGCTCTCAACTGGAGAAAGTCTGATTTTAAATAAGATCAAATACAATTTGACCAGAGTGGATTGACAGCAGATAATTTCAGATAAATTTGTCTCAGAACAGTGGGATGCATTCAAGAAGGAAGGAGAATATAGGTCTGCAAACACAGTGAAGCAGAAGAAAGCATTTGTAGGCATATTATGAAAACCTGCTGGACAAGCAAGGCTGTGATAGTTGGTAATTCATTTACCTGATGGTAGACTTGGGGAAAAAGGTACAGCATGAGGCACAGAAGGGGAAAAATTCCTGCAATGTGTGCAGGAGAACGTTCCAGAACAGTACATTTTCAGTCCTTTAGGGAGGAAGCTGTGGTGGACCTGGTCCTAGGAAATGAGGCAGGCCCTGTGCGGACTGTCATTGTAGGGGGAGCATTTGAGAAATGGCAATCATAACATAATTACAGTGGCTGTGGTTAGCACTGCTGCCTCACAGCGCCAGGGACATGGGTTCAATTCCAGCCTTGGCTAACTGTCTGTACAGAGTTTGCACACTCTCCCTGTGTCTGCATAGGTTTCCTCTGGGTGATCTGGTTTCCTCCCACAGTCCAAAGATGTGCCGGTTAGGTGAATTGGCCATGGGAAATGCATGGGGTAGAGGAGATGAGTCTGGGTGGGATGCTGGGTGAGTGGATGTGGACTTGTTGGACCGAATAGTCTGTTTCCACACTGTAGGGATTCTATGAAATATTAGGTTGGGAAAGGATAAAAATCCAAAAAATAAATTAAGATCCCAGACTGAAAAAGTACAGGTTTTAGGGGGTCAGATTGATTAGAAACATTTTGGTACATAAAACAGTAGTTTAAAAAAAAAAAAAAGGAGACTTTCAAAAGAGAGATGAATAGGGTGCAAGCTAGGTACGGATTGATCAGAAATAAACACAGGGTATTCATAGCTAGAGTAGGAGGATAACGAAGGAAATTGATGAGAAAATAAGGAAGAAAAAGGAGGCACATGTACATAATGAAATGACAATAATGACAGAAATCAGGAAGAGTATCTCAAAGGCTAAGACTGGAATAAGGCTGGCTAAGAGGAAGCATGAGGAAAGGATGGCAGGCTACACTAAAACAAACAGGAATGTGTTCTTCAAATATATTTGAAGATGTCAACAATGGCCCAGTGACAAATTTGGGTGGTGAGCAACTGAGCAGATAGTGATAGATAAAGCACTGCTAAAAAGGCTGGCAGCACTCCAGTTAAAGAAGTTTGCCAGGCCCTGGATGGGATGAACCCTAGATTGCTGAGAGAGGTAAGGGACCAAATCGTAGAGCTATTGTCAGAAAGTTTTCAGGCCTGTGAATAAAGGATCAGTCCTGGGGGACTGGAGGATTATAAATGTGATGCCATTGTTTGAGAAAAAGGCAAAGGATAACCCAGGAAGGTTGGTTAGCAAATTAGAAATGGATCCTTTGCAGCACAGAGTAGAAGTTGGCTAAAGATAGAAAACAGGTGGTAGGTATAGCTGAGCATTTCTCAAACTGAAGAAAAGTTGAAAGCTCTCCTGGGATCGGTGTTGGGACCCTTGCCTTTTCTGATTTATGTAAATGATTTGGAGAAGGGTGTAGAAGGCAAAACCTTTAAATGTGCAGATGATACAAAGTGAGAGAGAGTAGTGAATTGTGAGGATGATGCTGGGCAACTTCAAAGGGACATTGACAGTTTGGCCAAATGGACTGACACCTGGCAGATGAATTTCAATGCAGAGAAATGAGAGTTAAATGCATTTTGGTAGAAGAAACAGAGAGACAATACAGGCTCAGTGATACAACTTTGAGGGGAGTACAGGAGCCGAGGAACCTCGGGGTTCAAGTGCATAATTCACCGAAAGTGGCCAGGCAAGTTGAAACAGTTAAGGTGGCTCGTAGGATCCTTGGATTTACAGAGGCATAGACTATAAAAGCAAGGAAGTGATGCTACACCACTACAAATCACTGCTCCAAATGTGGTCTGACCATTGTGTTCAGAACTGAACACCTTATTTAAGGAAGGATAAGCTTATTTAAAGCCCTAGAAGAAGTGCAGAGGAGATTTACTAGAACAACCAGGAATGAGAGATTTTAGATACAAGAAAAGATTGAAGAAATTGTGCTCACTCTCCTTGGAGCTGCGAAGATTAAGAGGTGAACTTAAGGTGTTCAAAATTATGAACAATTTTGACAAGGTAAAGAAGGATATTCTTCTGTTTCCACTAGTTTGTAGTCAGTAATGGTGGGAGTCACAATTTCAAGATTGACAGCAAGAGAGCTAGGAGTGAGATGAGGAGAAACTTCTTTACTCAACGAGTTATTAAGATTTGGGAATGCACTGTCTGAGAGAGTGGTGAAGGCTCATTAGGAGGTTTCAAACAAAAAAAGAAGATAGATTTTTATTTGAAAGTGATGAATTTAGAGGGCTACAGAGATAGAGTTGAAGAATGGAACTAGCTAGGTAGCTCTTTCACAAGCCAGTACAAGCCTAATGGGTCAAATAGGCTCCTTCTGTACTGTAAAACCCTGGTTCGATGAAATATGGATAGTACATGGCCAACATATTTCAATGAAGAAAAAAGTAGTACCAGCAAAACAATACTTTTCATTGTATCTCAGTACATGACAATAATAAATCAAACCAAATGTGGTACTATTATTCAAGAAGGGAGCAAAGGTTAAATAAAGAAACTATAGGCCAGCCAATCTAAACTCAGTAGTGGGGAAACTATTGGAAGCAATTCTGAAGAACAGAATCAATCTACATTTGGAAAGGCTGAGGTTAATCAAGACAGTCCAGCATGGTTTTGTCACGGGCATGGAGGGTCATGTCTAACTTGAGAGAATTTTTCAAAGATGTGACCAGGAATGTAGATGAGGGCAATGTTGTTGATCTAATTTACTTGGTCTTCAGCAAGACTTCTTGTAAGGTCTGGCATGGGAGACTGTTAAGAAGGGAACAGCCCTTGGGAATCTAAGGAAATTGGATCCAGAATTGGGCGAGTGGTAGGAACCAGGGAATGATGGTTGAGGGGTGTTTTTCTGACATGAAGTTTACGTCAGTGAGGTTCCACACAGGTCAGCGTTGGGACCCTTGCTATTTGCAGTTTCGATCAGTAAGTTTGGAGACGATGAAATTGTAAATAGTGAGGAGGATAGTCTCAGGTTACAGGGGGATATACACGGGCTAGTCAGATTGAATTCCATTTGCCACTGATCAGCTAATCTGGATAAATGTGAGGTGATGCACTTGGGCAGGACAAACAAGCAAGGGAATACATGCCGAACAGCAGGATCCTAGAAAGCACTGTGGATCAGAGGAACTTTGATGTACATGTACACCAGTTCCTGGAGGTTTCAGGACAGGTGGATAAAGTGATTAAAAGGCATATGGGATAGTACCGTTAGCTGTGGTATAGAGTTTAAAAGCAGGGACATTATGCTGCAACTATATGTAAAGTTGGTTAGACCAAAGCTATGAGAGTTTTGCAATCCACATAATAGGAAGGATGTGATAAGACTGGAGTGAGTGCAGACATTTACCAGGATGCTGCTTTGGCTGCAGTTTCAGTTGTGAAGTGAGATTGGACAGAGTGGAGATAACAAGGTGTAGAGCTGGATGAACACAGCAGGCCAAGCAGCATCAGAGGAGCAGGAAAGCTGACGTTTTGGGTCTAGACCCTTCTTCGGAAAATGTTCTACAGTTCCTACCATCTCTTGGACAGAGTTCGGTTGTTTCCCTTAGAGCACAGGAGATTGAGAGGGAGGGTAACTGCGATGCATAAAATGATGAGGGGCACACTCAGGGTAGACAGAAAGAAACTTTTCCCTTTGGTGGAGAGATCAATGACTGTGGGGCATAGATTTCAAATTAGAGGTGGGGTGTTTGGCGGTGATGTGCAGAAAAACTTTTTTCACCCAGAACGTGGCAGAGTTTGGAACTCAGGAGACAAAAATAAAAAAATTGCTGGAAAAGCTCAGCAGGTCTGGCAGCATCTGTGAAACATTAACACTTGATTTCTCTCCACAGATGCTGCCAGACCTGCCGAGCTTTCCCAGCAATTTCTATTTTTATCTCTGATTTGTAGCATTCGCAGTTCTTTCGGGTTTTAATCAGAATTTGGAACTCGCTGCCTCTAAGGATGGCAGAGTTAGAAATCCTCATGACATTTAAGACGTATTTAGATATACAATTGCGATGCTAAGGCTATGGGCTAAATGCTGGAAAATGGGATTAGACCAGTTGAGCCAGAGGGCCTTTTACTGCGCTGTAGATCTTTATGACAATGGGAACCCTCTTTAATCGCTATGCCTTTCCTCATTAATCCCCAGCCCGATGGAGGCAGGGAATGCACGGTACTGCTTTCCCAAGGCGCCATAAACAACCAATCCAGCCCTAAAGCCTCATAGACCGCTTCTCCCTCGGGCCACCGGTTCCCGGACACCAAAAAGCAGCAGCCGCTTCCCTTAGAGCCACAGGAAGCAGGTATCGGCCCGGGGCCTTTCCGGGGGAAGTCCATTATCCTTTCAAGTGCCGAGAGAAAGATCAACTTCCACATCCGGTAGGCCACCGCCTGAGCGTGACCTGGAAAAGCTTCAACAGCCCGCCGACAGTCTCACAGCCAGCAAGCTCAACTCCATAGCGGCCCGGGGCCTGAGCCCTGGACCCTGCTCCTTATCCTTCACTCAGTCACCGCGGCGCCCACGCTTCGCACTTACCTCAGCAAGCGGCTTGGGGAGGCCGCGGTCGGGGTCCCTCAGGCTGGACTCGGGGAGGCCTCGGTCGGGGTCCCTCAGGCTGGACTCGGGGAGGCCTCGGTCGGGAGGGCCTCAGGCTGGGTCCGGGCCGGGCTGGGCTCGGGGCCGCGGAGGGATGGAGCGGAAAGCGGACCGCGGAGGATGAATGTGGGTGCACGTGACGCGGTCCCTCGCTCACACTGTTGGCCGCCATCTTGGGTAAGGAGTTAATAACTTTCATTTATACTGCGCCGTTAATGTGATTGGAACCGGTCCCAAAGCACCTCATCCAGCCGTAATATGAGGTGTCATCACAAAAGGCGAAAGACCGGGTCAAAAAGGTAGGTTCTGTAGCACTATTTATTGACATCATGGCTAACCTGATCTTAGCCTCATCTCCATTTCCCAGTTTGTCCCCCATAACTCTGAGTCCTTGTAGATCAGCAGCCAGTCTATTCCAGCCTCCACAGTTCTGGGGTTGAGAGCACGTTTTATTTTGCAATTCTGTTCTACTTATCCGAATCATTTATTCAAAGTGTAATCCTTTTTTAGATTTTCTGTCTTTGTCACAATTTGCCTCCTTTCCTATGTTTTTTCAGAAGCAAATTTTGATTAAAGTACAGTGTCCTTTCATTCATTAAGGTAGACTGTAAATAGTTGAACTTCTACTAACGATCCTGTAGAGTCCGACTAGTTCTTGTTTCACAACCTGAAAATGAACCATTTCTCCTGACTCGCTTCCTGCTAGCTACCAATTCTCTTGGGACATCCAGAAGGAAGACAAGCAAAAAGGTTTATGTTGTGAATTCCAAAGATGCCATTGGTGGAGTAATGGAAATCAGGATTGGCTAAGAAGTTTACATTAAACAACTTAAAACAGCGCATTAATGCCAAACCATTGCAAGTTTGGAAGCATTCTTGCCATATAAATGTACTGTATCACAACCTTGTTCAGTCAAAATCCTGGAATGTCCAACCTAAGAATATTGTTGGATTACACTTGCTAAGGAATAACAGTGCTTTGAGGATAAAAGATCCACCAATATTTTCTCATTATGCCCGTATGGATAATATATGTGCAGCATTACTTGATTGTGAGCATCTTTGAATTGGGGAATCCTCATTTTCATGTCTTTGTGTTTAAATAATATTGTTCGCCCTTTAGAAGTAGATATGCCTGAGTCATTGTAACATCTTGACCACACAATCTCAATTGTACAATTCTACATTCTGAAGGTATGTTGTGAACATGGCTGTCCAAGTTGTCGCAGCGTTTCGAACGCCATGCGCCCCACCCCCCCACAACCTCCTAGGGGTGAAGTTGCAGCCAAGAATCTGAAAGCATGAGTCAAAGCCAGTCAGTAATAACGTGGCTATGATATGTATTTGTGTAGTGTTGTTAAAACCAGAATTTAATCTTCATAATCTGATTTTTGAGGGTGGTAGCCCTGTCATTTTGTGTTATATATGGATAGTAAATGTTTGCCTTCTGCAGAAAAAGAGAAGAAAAATTCTGGATTGTTTCTTTCACCACATTGGGACATCCTAAGCTCTTGAATATGTAAATACGTTAATATATTTTAAATATGCTGAACAATTCCTAGCCTCTGACCCACTTATGTAGCTGCAGTATTTACGCAGCTAATCCTGCTCAGTTTCTGGCCAGTAGAATGAAGTGGAGAGGAGGAGGAGTGAGGGGAAACATAGAACAACAATATTGGTATGGAATTTGTTAGTAAGGGGTGTAGGCAGGTGCTTCTGCATCTGCAGACATGATTCCAGGATGGTAATTTGCCTCCCAGGTGCGAGGGTCGAGGAAGACCACGAAAACAGCTGCAGGGAATTCTGAAGGGGGAGTGTGAATAGCCAGTGGTGATGGTCTATGGTGGGACTAAGAACATGAGATGAAAGAGAAATGAGATCCCATAAAGCAAACTTTAGGGTGCTAGATAGAAAATTGAAAAACAGGTTTTCAAAGATAGTCATGATATGGAGGTGCTGGTGTACCAAGGTAGACAAAGTCAGAAGTCACACAACACCAGGTTGTAGTCCAGCAGGTTTATTTGAAATCACAAGCTTTGAGTGCTGCTCCTTCAAGTGAAGACAGTGACCTTGGATCACTCCCGATGCCACTCATTAGTGAGTAGAAGGATTGAACAGCTGAATGTGTGGCTGGAGGGATGATGCAGGATAGAGAGTTCATTGGATTCATTTCTTGGGACTTGCACAAGTTAATGCAAGGAACCTGAGGAATAAGACTTGTAAGCTAAGGGTGGGTATAGATGAGGTAGAGGGTGTTGAAATGGTGATCAATTCAGGAATCAATCATAGCATTGAGGAGGATTGATATCTTGGAAGAATCATCAAATGAGGTTAAATGGGTAAGTAGTCCATCTGCCAATTGCTTGACACCTCAGTGAACCTGTCCATATCTGTTTGCAGCCTCTTTAGTCATTCCCACGGTTTTCTGTCCCACTCAATGTAGTCTTGTCAGTGAACCTAGAGACATTACACTTGGTCCCTTCACCTGAATCATTGATTTGATTGTGAATGACTGTGGCTTTAGCAGTGACCTTTCTGGCACCCCTACTAGTACCAGCACACCAAGCTGGAAATGATCCTGTTTACTGTCCACCAGCCAATCCTCTATCCTCCAGGACATAGCAAACACTGTTCTGCAGTCTGATTTAACATTGCAATGTTATGAAATACAGTCAGAGAACTGCCATCGAGGTGGGGCGGTGGAGAAACAGGGGAGTATATGAGTGATATCACAGAAAGCAATAGTAGCAGGAGATATTACCCAAATATGGAGTGGGATTAGTCTTAGTGTGTAAGGTAAGGAGGGAATAAAATTTTTAAATTGTGTCCAGGAGAACATTTTTAGCTAGTACATAATCCAACAAGAGAGATGACTATTCTGAACTTATATTTGGAAATGAGCCTGGTCAAGTGGAAGGTGTACCAAAAGTGTTCTTCAGCATAGTGTATTTGATGTGGTCTACGTGGACTTTAGTAAGGCTTTAAATACGATCCCTTATGGCAGACTCATCAAGAAAGTAGGAGCCTGTGCATCCAAGGCAATTTGGCATGTTGGATCCAAAACTGGCTGAGAGGCAGGAAGCAGAGAGTGATGGTAGAGGGATGTTTCTGTGACAGGAAATCTGTTTAAAGTAAGTTTTCACAAGGCTCAGTACTGGGGCTCTTGCTGATTGTGATGCAAGTGGTATGATCAAGAAATTTCCAGATGACATGAAAGTTGATAGTCTAGTATAAATAGGGAGGAGTATGGCCATAAGCTGGACGAGAATATCAAAGGACTGGTCAGAGAAACGTTGAAAACAGGAGTAGGCAGTTGGTTCTTTGAGCCTGCTGTGCCATTCAGTATGGTCATGGCTGATCCTGCAACTCAGTACCCTGTTCCCGCTTTCCCCCATACCCTTAGATCCCTTTAACCATAATGACTGTATCTAACTGCTCTTTGAAAACATCCAGTGTTTTGACCTCAATCACTCCCTGTGGGGCAGATAATTCCACAAGATCACCGCTTTCTAGGTGAAGAAATCTCTCATTATCTCAGTCCTAAAGGCCTATCTTGTATCCTTAAACAGTGACCCCTGGATCTGGACTCCCCAGTCATTGGGAACAACTCCTGTGTTTATCCTGTCTAGTCTTGTTAGGATTCTACAGGTTTCTGGAGATCCCCCACCTCCCAATTCTTCTAAACTCCACTGAATACAGTCCAACCAATCCAATCTCTCTTCATAAATCAGTCCTGCCATCCCGGGAAAGAGTCTGGTAAACCTCAGGGGTGCAGAACATAGAACAGTACAGGCCCTTCGGCCCACGATGTTGTGCCGAACTTCTACCCTAATCCCACGGTGTATCTAACCTCCACCCCTACCTTATACTATCATCCATATGATACCCCTAATGAGGCCGACTCCACTACCCTCTCCGGCAATGCATTCCACGCCCTGACCACTCTCTGAGTAAAGAACCGACCTCTGATGTCTCCCCTATATCTAACTCCACTCACTTTAAAACCATGCCCCCTCAAAATAGCTACCTCCACCCTAGGAAAAATTCTCTGGCTGTCTACTCTATCTATACCTCAGATCATTTTGTACACCTCTATCAAGTCACCATCTTAAAACACAGAAAAGTAAAACAAAGCATAGACTATAAAGGCAGAAAAATGAAGAAATAAAGAAGATGTCCAACTTTACAGTCTTTCTTGTTAAGTGCTTAGTCATGGGCCTGGTGGCCAGGTACGAGTCTCCTTCACCACACTGCTACTACTGGAACAAAAGTCACCATTCTTCAGTGCTATCTCGCCTCCACTGATGCTGTTACCACTGAGTCCTTGCTGGACCCCGCCAATGCAGACACCACCGATACTGCTGAATACTGCACAGGCCCAAGCTGGGCTCTGCCACTGCCATGACTGTGCTTCAGGTCTACGTCATGGATGCAGCCACTGCTCATGTGGCCGGGTCTCTGTCTGGGCCCAAAATTGCCACCACCACCTCCACAAATCTACATTGGAAACAGACACCACCAGGAGCCCAAACTCGTCTCCACAACAGCGGCCATGCGTCAGTGCTAGGACTGCCTTGATGATGCAGAAGCCACTGGGAACTCAAATTCACCACCGCTGCCACAAGTCCATATTGCTGGGCCCACTCGCCGAGCCTTTGCTGCAACTGAGCTCTTGACCAAGAGGTGAAGTAAGTAAAATAAAATAGAGGAAAGAAACAAGAGAAGTGAGAAAAAAACAATGAAAAGAAAAGCAGGTGGCGTAGACAAACCTTGGTCTCAGAAGCCCTACTCTATTACCATCTTACTAGAGGTGATTAAAAAGGAATTGGGGATATTTTGCTTCATTGGCTGAGGTATAGAATACAAGAGCAGCAAGGTTATGCTGGAAATATATAAATGCTGGTTAGGAACCAACTGGTGTACTGTGTGCAACTCTAGTCACCAAATTATAGGAAGAATATAAATGCATTAGAGAGGGTGGACAGGAGATTTACCAGAATACTATCTGGGCTGGAAAGTTTGAGGGATGAGGAAAGATTGGGTAGACTGGTCTTGTTTTCTTGGAGCAGTGGACGTTGAGTGGGCACATGACAGAGGTGTATAATATTTAGGGGCATAGATAAGGTGG